GGGGCCGGGCACACGCCAGGCGGGGCTGCCCGGCGCTGAGGTGACTGGGTGTCGTGTGCCTCTGGGGATCCCCTGCACCTCGCAACAGCGAGCTCCGCTTACTGACGCAGTGATCGATAGCGCTTTCTGGGTTTCTTCTGCACGCTGTGTGAAGTACCAAAAAAATGGTGAAGGAGACTCTCCCAAAGGACGTGCTATCACAGAACCACAGAATCACAGACTGGTCGGAGATGGAAGCGACCTCTGTGGGTCACCCAGTCCAACCCCCTGCCCAAGCAGGGTGCAGGGGGCACAGCACCGCGTCCAGGCGGGTCTGGAATATCTCCAGAGAAGGAGACTCCACAGCCTCCCTGGGCAGCCTGGGCCAGGGCTCCGTCACCCTCAGAGGGAAGAAGTCTTCCTCATGTTCAGACGGAACTTCCTGTGCTTCAGTTTGTGCTTTACCTAAATGAGAAAAGTTGTGGATTGTTTGCCACTTGCTTTCAACTTTTTTTTTTGAATTTAAAAAAAAAAAGAGGGAGAACGAAGTCATTCCCTAGGTATCATCTGGCTCCTGTTTTTGGAGTCGGAAACGAGCGTGCTGCATGGCAATCCTCTCCCGCCCGCCCCTCCGCCCCAGCCGTGGGCAGGCAGAGCTCTGCGCAGGCCGTTCGGCTCGTTACGCCAGACAGGAGAGCGTTTCTCCGCGGTGGCGTGACCGGCGCGGGAGATTTTCCCATGGCAGAGGGATTTGTGTTGTGAAGCGAAGGGTGCAGGGTGACGGGCGTTTGAAATCGGGAATGCCGCTGAAGACCAGGTGTTCGACCCACCCCGCTGCGCTGCGTCACCCCCACCTTTCCACGTCACGCCAGTTGGTTACCCAAATTAAGTCGGTTTTGGTCAGCAGCAGCTCTTGGGTATTTCTACTGATCCATCATTCACTGAGGTTTCTTGGTGTGAGTGCTTGGAGGAGCGTTTTCCTCCTGCCGCTGCAGACCTGCTGACGGTTCCTCCTGCCTGCTCCCTCCTCCCCACCCGCTGTGCGTGCTGGCTGCGTTTTTTTCCTGCCTGTACCGCAGGCCTTGGGGGAGTTACCCAGAGGAGTTGTGTTTGTGGCAATAATTCAGCAGGCTTAGCTTTAAGAAACTTATTTGTGTTCTTCGCTTTCTGGCTGTATCTGAAGCGTGTCTCTGAATGGCGCGTTCCTCTTTTACTTACTTTCTGTCTGCCATATGCCTCCTCTGTTTTTGTTCTCTTCTCTTTACCCGAGCTTGCTATTAATGAAATTAATAATTTAGGAAAGATACACAGCAAAAACGCATTTTGAAGGAAGTCCCTGAGATGCCGTTCTTGGGGGAGGAGGGGAGCGGCCGGGCTGGCGCTGCCAGCTGTGCCCAGGGTGGAGCAGAGGGGCCCCGGGGCCGTGGGCCAGCGGCGCTGGGTGCCCGGGGAGGCACGCTGCAGCCAAACACCTCCCGCAGCGGCACAGTGCTGAAGGGAGCTGCGCTGGCCGACCCTCGGCCAGTCCCACGCCAGGGTTCACATAACGGAGCTTCCTGACAACACCATCGTAGGAGCCACAAGGGCGTTATCTGGTGGCCTGCTCAAAAGGGAGATCGTTCGTCACCTGTCGATGGTTCTGTTCTGTGACGGAAGAACAGTTCCACTTCCAGCTGACCTGTACCAGCTCTGCTAAAAATAGGGACCTGTCCTGTTTTGGACAACCCAGCACACTTGGAAGCTGAAATCTATGGACCAGACCAGCAGGGCCACGCTAACACGAATGATACCTGCCCAGTGGCAATCTTTGTTCCTAACAAGCGTCCCACTGGCTTTTCTCTTTGCAGTGCTCACCTGGAGAGTGAGGGAGATAGTACAGGTTTATGCAGACACCTGCGTTTAAAGGACTCGGCATGTAGCTGCCATGTTAGCTGAGGTGAGTGAGCTCTGCGGTGACGCTGAGCTGGGGCTCCCACCCACAGACGGGAGATCCATCGCTCCCACCCATAGACAGGAGACCCGTCTCTCCCACCCGTAGATGGGAGATCCATCGCTCCCACCCCAGACAGGAGATCCATCTCTCCCACCCACAGACGGGAGATCCATCGCTCCCACCCCAGACAGGAGATCCATCGCTCCCACCCCAGACGGGAGATCCATCGCTCCCACCCCAGACAGGAGATCCATCGCTCCCACCCCAGACGGGAGATCCATCGCTCCCACCCCAGACAGGAGATCCATCGCTCCCACCCCAGACGGGAGATCCATCGCTCCCACCCCAGACAGGAGATCCATCGCTCCCACCCCAGACGGGAGATCCATCGCTCCCACCCCAGACAGGAGATCCATTGCTCCCACCCATAGAAGGGAGATCCATCGCTCCCACCCCAGACAGGAGATCCATCGCTCCCACCCCAGACAGGAGATCCATCGCTCCCACCCCAGACAGGAGATCCATCGCTCCCACCCCAGACAGGAGATCCGTGACTCGCTCTCGTCAAGCCGAATAGTGCTCAGAAAGTTGCTCCCAGGTTAAAACCTTAATGAGTCTGAGTTGTCCATGGAGTCATTAACTCACTGAGAACGTTATACCTGGAAAATACACTTTGTGCAGTTTAAATGAAATCCCACGTGCTTCAGAGAGTCCCGTCAGAAGGAATCGGAGCTGACAGCACTTTTTTTTTGACAAAGGAAGCTTTAATTGGCTGTTAAGTTAAAGCTTTGAACCCTTGGTAGCAGAAGTGTTATAGGTTAAGTTAATAGGGAAAATTGAGAAACAATTAGGGCAGCTTTAAATTAATTACTTACACTGTTTATTTTGAGCTTATTGAACAATTGTGTTGTACGCGTAAGTGATTGAAATTAGCCATCTGCGCAAGATAGCTGTGACCGGAGCTGACCTT